AAGACCTGGTATATTGTTGTGAAGTTAAAAAATTGCGGGGACTGCTAACAAACAAACAAACAAACAAACAAACAGAAGCGATTATGTACTGTACTATGTCAGAGGGAGAAACTATGGAAAGGTGTTAAAAGTAAAAGCACTTTAATTGTCTTAAACTGATTTTTAAAAACTTTTATAGCAAAGAGGACACTGTTTTATAAACCTATTGACTTTATTTAACCTACATAAATCGAGCACAATATGTTTTCTGCATTGTGTTTACATTCGACTAAATAACCCTGAAACCTACATTTTCCTCTGCTATGGTCTGTGGGAATTTGAGCCATACTTTTACTTGTTTATTTATTTCTTTTTGAGTCATAGTTGTGCGCTTCAGAGACACAAACTCTAAAATAACATTATGAGTGAATAAAACTGCGAGGGGCTATTAACAGCTTTTATAATATGTGTGAAAACCTGCTCACGTTGAGTCTTAGGACTGTCTTTTTCTTTTTCTTTCTTTTTTTTGTTTGATTACAGCCAAAATCCAAGAACTAATTATGGTATTATTTTAGGTAAAGACTCAGTTTTTTGCTTGATACTGATTGAATACCTCATCTCAGGGTACCTGCAGATCTGATACCAGCCTTCAGCTAACATGCTAGCACTATGCCTCTCATTACACTGATTGCTGTGAAGATTTGAGCTCCACAGACTGTAATTACTGCAGCTGCCTTTGGTGATCCTCTGAATTTTCTTTTTTCCTCATCTAAGGGAAGTGACTACTAAACTCTGACAGTCCCCTAACTTTTCATGCAGGTATCATCATCAGAAATAGAAAGGTTTATGATCAAATATCTTTAAAACTAACGAGCTTCACTGTATATTGGAGTTAGCTCTAATTAGCAGCGAGTAAGTTGTGTGTGTGTGTGCGTGTGTGTCTGTGTGTATCCCATCCTCTATTTAGGCTAAAAGCAAGAAAACAGATTAAGTGAGGGGAAAACAGTTGTCTAGTGTCTAATTAGAGTTCTCATTATAGCTAATATTATCATCCTAGGATGCAAAAATCTGACAAGATAGCATTGTCATTATGAGTGAAAGCGTGCTAATGTTAGTGTTTACCTCAAATCACCTTCTGTGGAGAATTAGAGGCTCTGGCATGGCTGCAGCCCCTCAGTCTAGTTGAGCACCAGTAATGCTACGGTCCAGTGTTTTTTGAAGTGTCCTATTATGTAAGGTGGCATGAGACGCAGGATTAGTGAGGTTGCCTGTTGTGACGGCATCATTGTTTCAGCTAATGCTGATTTGGTAGATTTGGTGAACTGGTGGGTTATTAGTGTTTTTTGTAGATTTCACAAGTGTGTTTTCTGGAATCAACAGAGTTTTGATCTTTTTTTTTTTTTTTTTGTAGACATCTGCAGAAAAATCATAATTGTTAAATTGCTGTCGTGATCAGTCAGTTTCAAGGATAACTCATTATTATATACATCAGCTTTCGCACCTGATTGAGGGTGGGGGGGGGATTATTACCTGAAAATGATTTTATTCAAATGATTCTATAAAAGCAAAGTTTCCAGATATGTATTAATAGAGATATACATGCTAAAGGTTGAGTATGTTTCTCCAACACCCACTCACAGTCTTCCTCTTTCTGTTTTCTCTCTCTGTATCACAGTTAGCTAGAGGCTGTTGCCACCCACGCACTCAGTCCTGACAGCAATTTACATTCAGAATAGCCGATGCGAACGTATCCATGTGTTCTGATATGTCACGTTTCCTTAGATCACTGCATGCTGCAAGTGACTTTCTCAGTGGCAGGTGAAAATACAACCTAAATATTTGTCTGCTTGGTCATTTGATCCATTTGCTCTCGCGCTGAGACACGAGGCAGAGTTGGGATTCAGCCCCACAACGATCGAGGAAGATTTCCGCTCCCGCCCATCCCTCGTGGTCGGGCCGACAGGTCTGAGCATTTTTCTCACGCGTCTGTTGGGAGAAACAGATGCGTTGTGCTGCGTGTTGGTGTGTTTCATCATCTTTACTGTGCAGTTGTGTGCCCGTATCTTCTGCAGTTCAAGTAGAAGCCCTTGGAGTTGTTTCCATGGATACCAAACAATTAGCTGGGATTCAGAATAGAACCTGGAGAGTCGCCTATTTAGAGGCTTTGGGAGTGAGGAAATCATAGGATGACAGAGTGTCTTGATTCTGCATTGCAAAGGGAAGAAAAAAGGGCTCCCGTGGGTAATGGGTAACTTCTAAAGGAAAAATAAATAAATAAATAAAATGCTCCAGCAGATCAATCAGAGACAAAAATAGAACAGCAGAGCGACTGTGAACATGAAACACGATCACGTTTCCTTATGTGCTGTGAAACATATGGACGCTCTGAAGCTAGCTTAAAAGAATGCATGCATATAAAAGGGAATATGACCGTATTGCACAACCTGGGCTCACTTGCGGGCCGTATTGTAGCTTTTGACATGGCTCATTCCCACTTGTGAAAGGCTGAACAGTGTGTAGCTGAAAATGTGATTGCTTTTTAAAAAAAATACTTTTTTAAGAAAAACCTTCATTCTTGGGGACACGAGGAAAGGCTAAATATAGAAATATAGATTGTGCTCCCATAGGTTTGCACATAAAGGTACACAAGCAGCCTATTATCTGAAGACTATATATATATAAAGTGATATCATATGTATGATGTGATTGTTGCAATAGCCAGGAGGTGATTAGCATCAGCTTGACTCAGAGAGAGGGAAACATGCTAGCTTTATTCTGCCTTAAAATAGCTTTGAAGATGTTAGCGAAGTTGGCGAAGGTACATTTGGGATCAGATTAACAAAATATAGATTAAGTAATTTGTTTACATTTTAAAAACTGAATGTTGTGGTTTCTATTGACGTTTATGTTCCAGAGTATTTGCTAGCTATGGCCTGTAACCTTAGACTAGAGCGACCTTGTTTTATTTCTTTTAGCTAAAGCTAACCAGTTATAGGCCATTGCCTGATATTTACTTACAGATAGGGCAGTCAAGACATTAGATTTTCTATGTATGATTACAGTGGCCAATGGAATTAAAGATGGTGACATTATCATGTTAACTATAGAAAATGTGTTACAGGAACAGCTAGGTACTAGCTAGGTTAGCTAGATGTAATTTGATTGAGATTCTGCAGTCAGTAAAAGAAAGAGCAAATAGAGGAAATATTGGAAAGTCTGGTTGTTCTTCATTGCCTCATTGCTTGGCTGTTTTCGTGCACAGCTGGGATTCTCGATCTGTGTCCTTGACTGGCTGCTTTTTTTTTTTAATGCTGCATCACATTTTATGGTGGGTGGTAAGGTGTTATATCATTAATTATAATCTCTGGAGAGAGTGCATTTATTTGTGGTGCTAAAACCAATATCTTATAGCTCCATATAGTCCTAATGGTAAACTGGTATTAGTTGGACATAAGTAAAGGAAAAAGTTGACGCATCTTAATTTAACCAGTTTAATCTGACCGTGTCAGCAAAAACAGAAACATTTTGGCCTTGCGGTCTGATGAAATCCAACAAACTGGTTATTGATTCTGTGTTATGTGAGTGTTATCGTGAGATCAGTGTTCCAGTTTTTCCCACAGTTACTATTTTAACTTGGTGTTTGAGGAACTTGAACAGTTAATGAATACCTCTCTTAGATTTCTGTCGTTCATATTTAAAGATGGGGATAATGTGGGATGGATATATTCGTACTCTGTGACCCTCACGCTCCTCTGCACTGGAATTGCCTTCCAGGTCACCACATAGACAGACACACACACACACACACTCGTGCAGAGAAAGTCTCAAAGATAGATGCATATACTTTTATAGATCCATCACCATGTTTACTCAGTTGCTACTAGCCTAAAGTCAAACCAAGACCATGGGTTTCAAGATGACTCATCAGAGTGTGGGTCTTCCTCCGAATATAGTTCTCACATCAGGGTTTCTTTTTCTTTTTTGCGTCATTTTCCACTGGCATTAGATATAAAAAGTTTTCCCTTCTGATGACGAATATCTGTTCGGGCATGCAGTTTTTTTTCAGACACTGTGTTGTTTTTTGTGTTTTTCTCGGGGGGCTGTAGATGTATGTTCTTGTTGCTGGTGTTCTTCAGCTTGAACTTCTCTGTGCTGGTATCTGGCCTGCTAATAATGTGTGTTCTGTCAGTGTTTTCTGATGATGTTTTCCTTTCTTGATGGGACTGAAGTGGCAGCTGCAAGGTAATGACGCAAGCTATGAGTAGGAAGTTTGTTGTGAAAGTAGTAAAACGTTTCTAACTAATGGAAAACTAACTGTATTGTGACCTCAGAGAGAATGAAACCAAATGTAACAATAAAAGAATAAAAATTAGTTTTAAGAAAGGACAAAAAAAAATCATTAAAATCATAACTGCTTGATTGATTCAAGCATTATGCAGGATTTTACTGATGTTTTGTTGCGTTTTGTTTCTTTCTCATTATTACAGGATCAAAGTCATCGTTCCTTTAGTTGCTTTCACGGCATCATGCTGATGCAGAATTTCACTATCGTGCTTGAGTACAGTAGTTTGCCAACACAGTTAATTTCCACTGAGATCTCTTAACTCTTAGCAAATTTCCTCTATTTTGGCAGAGTTGATACATAAAATATTTAAGCCTGGAAAAAAGTAAAAATGTGATAATCCAACTCTTTATATCAGAGCTGGCTGCCAGATTGTACTAGCTGGAGTTGCCTTAACATTGGTTGACATAAATATTGAACTGAATGTGTATGTAAATACAACCCAATTTAAAGACACAATAAGTGATAAATTTAAATGGCTTGAACTAAGTAGATGTAAGTTTAAAATTACAAAATTCTTACTGGTTTCAATCCCTGATATCCCCACAAAGTCTCAGCGTTTAATAATTATTGTGTTCAAGTTATGCTCCTGCATTTTTGAAGGTTTCAGTCTTTTCCATTTCTTATTTGTTTAACTCTGTTATTCTTGCTGCTTTTGTTTGGCACTTTTTCTTCATAGACCAATCTCGCAGGGCAAGTTTTGCCTCTGCAAGACAGTCAAGCATGGAAACTCCTCCCAATACGACCCCACAGCCTTTCAGACAGCCGGTAAGTACAATAAAACCATACAATGCACGCTCAAGTATGTGATGTAAGCTTTATGCTTGTGAAGAAAACCCCATAGGGTAGCTAGCTCCTCTGTAAACTTCCCACTGTAAAACCATAACTTATTTTCCTCCTGTTTTTGTTTTTTTTTTTTTTTAATTTTTAGAGCTTTCTCAATCGAAGGTTGAAGGGTTCCATCAAGAGGGCAAAAAGTCAGCCCAAACTTGACCGGACCAGCAGCTTCAGACAGATGATTTTGCCCCGGTTTCGTAGTGCTGACCAAGAAAGGTAAGTAATCATAATATATATTTCCAGTTTGTGATCTGTCCATTGCTCTCCATTCCAGATTTTAAATATTATTACCTCAGAGCGACGATGTGCTCACAGTTCATCCAATATTCATAATGAAAAGTCAGAGGAGGCCATGGCTGCAGTTTGAAAGAGAATTTTTGATATGGTAATGGTCTGTAATCCAGAGACAAAAGGCAACCTGGAAAGTTACTGCTTTGCCATTTCACTGATTTTATGACAAAAACAAAAGATTAAAAAAAAGATTAGAGCATGAATTTGAATGCTGAAGGAAGTTAAAGTATGCAGAAGATACACAGACAAACCGTAACTGAATATAAAGAACCAGAGGCTGTAAACATTAACATTGTTTTCTGCTAGCTGATGTAAGCTGGAAAAATTAGACTGCAGATATCGCCAGCAGGTGTGGAATTAGTAACGTCCTGGTTATAACGAGCTCAATTGTATCATAGCCATCACTAAGATAGTGGATACAGTCCATTTATGCTCCGAGCTTGGGAGCTAAACCATCAGCAATCAGAATCTGTTCTTTCTTGGGTGTCTGACAATCCTGTTTTTGTGCACTGTGTGTTATTTCAGTGGCTACTTCACATCACAATGGCAAAACCTCTTAACTTTTTTCCTGAAAGCCGTGAGGTTTTGTTTTTTTTCCCTTCTTTTCGTTGAGTTGCTAATGTCAGTAGAGTAGAGAGGCAATCAGTTAAGATTGCCTGTTACAAGCCGACTGACAAGCTGATTCATTTCAGTAAACTCAGGGATTTTGTTGTTACAGCCCTATTTACTCTGGTATGAATGACCAGTTGTCAAAATGTTAGCAAGCTCTAACCAACAGAAAATACATTTTATTGTCAGGCGCCTGGTCCAAACACTCATCCAGAACCATTCGTCTGTAAATGATTAATCTATACGGACCTTTTTTGCAGCAAACATCTGACTTATCACAGCTGGAGAAGTCGGTGTTATTTCCAGTAAGATTAACTTTGACTCTCTTCTATTCAAGTGTGCCACTTATTAATTTTCATTTTTTTGTATTTGCACTTTTCCAGCTGTGATGTCTGCTGTGAAAAAGGCCTATGGAGGACAACAGATCAATAAAAGAAAAAAGTAATGGGTCTGCACGCTGGCTTTAAAGCTTCCAAATATAGCTTAGGCAACATGGGTAAAAAAGGGACTGTTTTAACTTTAATGGTGACAAAAAGTGTATAAACACTGAACTGGCTACATCAATGCTGACATCATTATTTGGCTATTCTATGATAGGTCTCTATGCATGATAATATTAAATCCATTATCACTGATTGAAATGCTCTTTTCTTCTCTTAGGGCGTTTCTTTAAACGGTGTCTTTAAATCAACCGTACCTGCGCTTCAGATTATTACTCACATGTCATGCTCACATGCAATCATTAAGATTTGTGTTACCGTGATTAGAGATATGCATTAATCCTTTCATCACAAATCTATTTTGTGCTTTTAAAGGGACACGTTTGTCCTCAAGTGGCTCAAGCAGAATGTGTATGAATCTCCGAGGAGCTCATGACAGCCTTCGCTCCCACTGTAGCTCCTTATCAGCCACAAAAGCAGAGCCCCGTTGAAAGAAGGACGCTGCCTTTAGCGATACCTTCACAGATGGTTTCAGCCAGTGACGAAAGATCTTCATTTGAGTGATATTAATAGAAGAGCAGTCTATCCAATCATTGCAACGATGCTCTCTGAGCTGCGATTTATTACAGATGAACAGAAAATAAATAGGGGGTGAAGGCTTGTATTATCACAACACGGAAAAGGTTTGTTACTTCAGTTTGTTTTATGTCTGCACAAAAAGATTAAACAATAGCAGCTTAATTAGATGCACATTTATTTAAATATGTACTCATACTCATGTATTTTTTATTGAGATGTCTGTATGAGAAGCCTGCTCATATATATACAATTAGAATCACTGGTTTTCATCAGCACAAAGTCAGGAAAATAGAGCTGAAATGAATGTAGTGTTGAAATCCGTTGGGCATTGCAGTGGAGACACTAGTGTGATTTTTCTTGTCGGGATGCAATAGCTTGCAGCTCTAGAGGCTTTCACCGCAGCTTTTTCTTGTTTTGCATTCTGAACTGAGGTCACATCCCGATGGATTCTCGCTTGCATTGTGATCAAAATTTTATGCAGTCCTCACACAATCCAGTCACGATGCACATATGGGAAGTACAAAGATGTAGAGAGGGAGAAGGTAAAAATCTAATGCTGACACTACACTTTGCCCTCACTACAGGAGATGCTGTAACAGACGCATTTAGGGCAGGTGTGGCTGACCGATCCTGGAAGTAATCAGTGTGTCATTTTTGCAAAGCGCGTAGAAATCCTCTGTTGTAAAATTCAGATAGCCGGTTCAGATGTTAAAGCAAGTTTTGCATTAACCCGAGGGTTTCTGTGGGGGCAGCAGTGAAGGAGGAGGAGGTGGTGGCGGGAGCTAAACGGCGATGGGGTTAAAGTCTGCCTTGGTCGATCTGCCTTTCCCCTCTAACCACAGCCGTTCACCGCTGCCTCAGACAGCTGCCTTCACAGCCTGCTCCGCGTTCTGCCCACACACGCTTAATTCACTCAGTAGTGTTAAGTTGACTTTGCAATAAACCCACAGCATTCAACTTCACACTCTAGCTTTCCAACGCAGCTGCTCGGCCTTTGCTGCCAAGTCGGTTTACCATGTCCTGCGTTCTGCGATGGCACCGTCAGCTCCCTTAACATGATGATTCACTCGTCTTCTGATCAGTATTAAAATGCAGCCTTAAATTTCTCTTCTCCTTTTACTGCATCATTATCCATTCAGTCAGGACCAGGATAGTCAGAAGATTGTTACTTCCTGTTGCAGTAATTTATATTTATAGCAGCGTGATTCTGCTCTGGGATCATCATAAGGGTATATAATGTGCATGGACCAGTTACTGCTACTCCAGGCATCAGTTACTACAAATATGACATTGATTAGGCCAGATACAACATGAAAGGAAAAGCTGGGATGTAGGTGGGTTGTAAAGTGGCTTGCAGATGTGTAGTAACTGCAATAACAGCTATCAAATGAAATGTGTGTGACCTGCGTAACTGATGCTGCGCTAAGTATGTGCATTCAAAGCACCACTACATGCTGAGTCATACTTTTGGTGCAATTAGACCCCATATTTTTTTGCTAATCGTACTTTAAAGTTAATTTTGAAAAGCTTCCATTGTGAGAAATTTGCTTGATCACTTTCTGACTAAGGTTTGTTCACAAATACATTATTTTTCCCCCATTCTTTTTTAAAAGATCCCTGTCTACATCAAAATGCAAATGCCACAACAACACACTTGATGTGGCGATATAACCTTAACCGTACAGAAATGTTTATCAGTCTAAAGCCTACAAACAGTGACACAATACTACAATATGTAAGAGGAAAAAAAGGTGATAAAGGCACACACCTTTAAAAATCGCAAGACTAAATCTCAATTTTCACTAGCTGGTTAACGTTGCTTTGGCTTGCAGGAACATCTAAAGCTCAAAAACATTCAAAATCACTGTATTTTTCTTATTTCTTGCATGGAGTATATAAAGGGTTAATGACCGAGCCTTCGAGGATTTTGTTGGTTAGGAGAACAGCTAGGTGTTTGCTTAATAAGATTTTATAAACACTGTATGTTCCTTTTTTTTTCTTTCATTAAAGCCAGTTTTGGAAAACATTATAGGAATAGACTGACATTTTGGGTAATCTATTTCCATATCTTTGGAATCAGCCCTCAATTCCAGTTCTCGTCTAACTAGAAAGCGAGGAGTGTTATTTTTAATTACAGAATTTAAAAATAAAATTTTTAACCATTCAGTCTAAACTGAGCCTCCAGTCGTGACTATAGAGCAGCCCATAGCCCTCTACATCTCTAATGTCTGTCTGCCAGCAAATCAATTTAATGGTTCTCATTCAGTCTCTGTTTGCTGCAGCCTGAAAAGCTACAGTTAAACCAAAAGGACAGGCGCCCACTCACTAGTTGAGATGGTAACACACACAGCAAGTTAAACAATAGTTTATATTTAGGTTTCCTCCTTTTCCCATTACTGTGAGCAACAAAATCCCTTTCCTTGCTCCATTTTTTCCCAGTTCTGTTGCCTGTTAAAGACAGCTTCTTTCACATTTCTGCGTTCAGTTCCACCACTTTTTCTGTTCTTTGACAGAGCTGCCCTCTTCAAAGGTTATTCCATGATCAAGCCATAATCCTCCCTGCGTTTTTATACCTGCACTAGAGTGCACACTGCTGAGCTGCTTCTCAGCACTTGAATTTACATTACTAGACGGTAATATCGACCTTTAAATTCAGTTTTTGTTACTGTAGTTTAGTTAAAGGTATATTTGCATTTTCAGACGACACCACGAGCTGGGCTGGTATAGGCCGTTTCCTAATACACATTATGAGTCACATGAGCCAAGTCAATACACCAAACTGAAAACGCAAGAACTGAAAATCTGGTGTGGTTTACTTTTTCCATAAACTCATTATAAAAGGATCACATCTAAAATAATTGTGTTGAAATTGCAGGAGTGACACATGAGGATGTTTGAGCTACAGTGACTCATATTGTGTGAAAACACCACCATAATCACATCTGAATTCTGAAAGTAAGTCAATATCTTCCTCTTCTTCTCTAGGACTCGCTTGATGCAGAGCTTCAAAGAATCCCACTCCCATGAGTCCCTCCTTTCTCCTAGCAGTGCCGCAGAGGCTTTGGACCTAGTTTTGGATGAAGACGCCATAATCAAACCCGTCCATTCTAGCATTTTAGGACAAGAGTACTGCTTTGAGGTGCGTTGCGGTTGTTTAACCTTTTCCCTCTCCGTGGTTTCACCTCCCTGCTGCTGGATTTGTTTTATCTAACTGTATTTATGTCGCAATTCAGGTGCCACTACAAAGCCACTTTACACCTCACTTGAAAAATAAATGAGGTGACCCAGTGGTTTATGGAATTATAGTGCTTTAATAATTGAGTTAATTATATAAAATTGGAAACTGAGAATTGATAGAGTTTGGTCTGTTCGGAGTTCCCAAAAAGCACAAAAAAAAGAAGTAATTTGAAGACACAGGACCAGATTTACTAACTGGACTAAGTACCTCGAGGCTGCAAAAATGTGCCAATGGAGTGTAAGGTTCTGCAAGTGCTCTATAAGCATGGGCAGCAAATACTTTTCACAAGTGACCCGATGCGATATATGATGTAAGAGCAGCACAAATTAGTGAGTCAGAAATGATCAGATCTGCGCAAGTTTTTCTCTCCATCAACAGCATGCCAGTTCAGCTGCAGGAGAATCGATATGTTTTGATACGAGGGCTAACTTTACTATTAGAAAGTGATGGAGACTGTGTAAGATGTAGCATCTGTTTATGGATAAATCAGACAGCCTAGATGTTAGACCTCAGCTTAGATAGCAGAACGTACTCAGAGAAAAGACTGCTTCATTATAGACATATAAACCTGAAATCGGCATATAGCAGCTGACCTTCGTGTAGAACCTGAACACAAATTATTTACCTTATGGTCTTGGCCACTCCAGATGTTTATAAAGCTGCTAATAATGTGCAAGTAAGACCATGTGGGGGTGCAGCTATGTATTAAAAAGCCAAATATAGGCAGTTTTTGCAAAATACCAAATTAGAATTAGTGAAACCTGATTGACATAGTTGTCTTTATTTCAGTTTGTTATGTAATAAAACTGTTACTAGAGAGAAGTAAAAAAAAATAATATAAGAAAATGACACAAAAGTCCATTTGTGATGTTGCAGAGCTCAGTGTGTGCGCATGCAGAGACTTTTATGTACTTTGGGCTAATCTTAGTGTAGAAATGTGGCTAAAAACCTGAAACACTGAGAGGTAACTAGGCAGAACAACACAGCTGGCGTACTCAGGTGTCCCCTGTAGAGGTGGGATGCAGAGGAACTCTGGCCATGAGGTGAGCCACTTTTCTGAAGAGCATGAGGGGGATCAAGGCCAGGCCTTCCAACAAGTTATCAAGTCACTCAGAGGCGACTGAGCAAAGCAGCAAAAGGCTTTGGAAGAAGAGGAAGGAGTCTAACTGGGCTAAGAAATGTCTGCCATGGGGGGTAAAAGCAGAACGGGCATATACCTGGGGTGCCAGGTATTGCAGTTGAGCTTTCTGGTGGTGTCATGGCGCTGTCAGTGGAACACCAGTGAAAGAGCGTGCCCAACTGGTGGCCTTGACAATGTTTTTTGCCCCTTTCTCGATGACAAGTACTGTTACAGATTCCAACAAAAAGTCCTATGAGCTGAACTAAGTTAATTGAAAAACACTAAAGATGATCAAAAATAAAAAGCATTGTTAACTATAGTTTTCTAAGGAATCTTTCTTGATCATGAACGCAAAAAAGTGATATGTTTTATCCACAGGTAACGACTAGTTCAGGGACAAAATGTTTTGCCTGCCGTTCAGCTTCAGAAAGAGACAAATGGATCGAAAACCTGCAACGAGCTATCAAGCCCAACAAGGTAGATTCAGTAGAACAGATTATATTTCATCCTAGTATTACACTCTCACTGAAAAGGATCGACTACATTGCAACATTATGAGACAGTTTTAAGTAAGGACTGTTATAATGCAGTAACAGAACTCCTCGTTTCACTTCCAGGATAACAGCAGACGGGTGGATAATGTCCTCAAGTTGTGGATCATCGAAGCGCGAGACCTTCCAGCTAAGAAACGCTATTATTGTGAGCTGTGTCTGGATGACATGCTGTATGCACGCACCACCAGCAAGCCCCGCACCGACACCGTCTTCTGGGGCGAGCATTTTGAATTTAACAATTTGCCTACCATTCGTAGCCTTCGTTTGCACCTCTACAAGGAAACGGACAAAAAAAGACGCAAGGTAACGGAAGTGTCTCGTGAAGTCATTTTTAATGCTTTTCGCCTAAACATTTGCAACAAATACGTGAAATAAACATGTTTTTTCTTAAAAATCTAGGAAAAAAGCACATACATTGGCCTTGTTAGCATCCCCATATCCAGCATCACCGGCAGGCAGTTCGTCGAGCAGTGGTACCCGGTGATTCAGTCCAGTGTTCTCGCCAAAAGTGGCGGTGTTGGAAGTACCAAAGTTATCAACGCCTCACTACGCATCAAGTCTCGCTACCAGACAATGAACATCCTCCCGATGGAGCTGTACAAGGAGTTTGCGGAGTACATTACCAACAACTACCGAACACTGTGTGGGGTTCTGGAGCCTCTGTTGAGTGTGAAGAGCAAAGAGGAGGTGGCATTTGCACTGGTGCACATCCTTCAAAGCACGGGGAAGACAAAGGTAAAGAGAGGTCAAATTATGGCTTGTTGGTGTATCTTAAATAATTTATTTTCTTGTCTCCCTCTTTTCTCTTTGATTTGTGTTTTTTAATTTGCAAGAATTTTACAGAAGTACGGTTAGGTCCAAAGGTTTCTGGACAGTGGCACATTTTATTGTGTTTTTTCCTCTTTACAACAGCTCAGTGGATTTTAAATCAAGCAACAATCAAGACTGCAGACTTTGAGCTTTAATTCAAGGGATTTTATAAAAAAAGATTTAAATGAACGATTTAGGAATTACAGATATTACAGTGTGTTTGTGTGTACAGTGTCTCTTTATGTCTGTCTCCACGTTGGGTGAGTGCTGAGTAATTGCATAAGAGAGCATGAGGGTGGGAATGGATGTTTGTATCTGTGTGTGCCTGTTGGTTTGTGTCTTATGTGTTAGGTTGGGTATCAGACGCCACCTCTCTGGGGACCAGCGGCAGGTTCATGGGCAGCCAAGGGTCAGTTATTTGTAATGTTAATGTTGATGTTGGTTCTGATAATACATTTCTAGGATACACTGTATAACCACAGACCAGTCAGGGTACCCATGCTGACCCCTGTCCACTGTCGAAACGCCAACAATGGGCATGTTAGCATCAGAACTCGACCACGGAGCAATAGAAGAGCGTGCCCTGGTCTGATGAATCATGTGTTCTTTCACCTCATGTGTATGACCAGGTGCGTGTGGTCTTTTACCTGGCCAGCTGAAGCAATGTGATGCTTTAGGCCAGGGGTCAGCAACCTTTAACACCCAAAAAGCCATTTGGGCCTGGTTTCCACGCAAAACAAAACACTGGGAGCCGCAAATACTTTTTGACATCTAAAATGAAGATACTGTATATATTGTTTTTTACCTTTATGCTTTGTGTGAACAACTAAAGAGTGTTGCTTATGAAATCCATGAAGTGCTAAAGAGAAAATTACATTTTATTTATGCAATGAACACATTTTGAACTCTTAAAGAAATATAACAAAAAGGAAAGACACCCAGCTGAACTAAAATGATCCATGTAGCAAAGAAAAACTTGTGTACTGCCACCCTTATATCGCCTTTGGGCTTTTGGAGCGTAGCAGAGCCTTGACCTCAATTAAAAAAATAATTGGAATAAAGCACTCTGCTACTAAAAAATTGAAAAATAAATATTTGCAAAATTCTGCATAAATATTTATTTGTTTACTTATATTTATTTTACATGGTAAATGTGTGTGGCGAGGCTTAGTCTGCAGTGCCGCTGCATGGGAGTCGGACGCACCTGAGCGGCACCCGCAATCACGCCTCGCCGCCTTAAAGTCTGTGCTCTCTTTGCTGTTGTGTTGTTGGGCTGTGAGCTGAAAAGCTACAGCCGGCTTTATGCATACAGCAACCGTGTGTGAAAAGTGGTCAATAAAGAGATGCTGAAAAGCATGTTCATGCAAACATCGTCGGGTCTGCCGTGATATGTTTACAATGGGACTTCTGCTCCTGAACCTCTGCGCACAGTGAAGTCACTTTCATCTTTACGCAGGACTGTAAGCTGTCATCTGTGAGGCGTGAGCGGTGTTTGTTTTTAACATAGTTCGCGGTGGAGCTGCTGACATAATGTGGATCCATAATTGGCTGGGGTTGAAAGTCTCAGTAAATGCACAGCGTTTCGGCGGGTGTGACGCTTATTTTGAGCGACGAAAAATAATAAAATATAATTTTATTTTTATATTTCAGTATCACAATAATCTTCCAATTTAGAACTACAAGTTTAAAAAGAACTAATACAAAAAATACACTTCAGCTAAATACTTGTAATTTATTTTCCCAAACCACGCGGAGCTGCAGTATAAGGACTAAAGAGCCGCAGGTTGCCGACCCCTGCTTTAGGCAATGTTCTGGTGGAAAATCTTGGGTCGTCCCATCCACGTGGATGTACCGCCTACCTAAGCATTGTTGCAGACCATGTACACTCTTGGTATTTTGGTATATTCTTAATGGTATTTCTTGATGGCTCTTTCAGTAGGATGTGCACCCTGCCACAAAGCAACAATGGTTCAGGAATGGTTTGAGGTGTTCATCTAGCCTCAAAAGATCCAAGATCTGTGGGTGTGTGCTGGAGAAACAAGGACAATCCATGGAGGCCCCATCTCGCTACCTAAAGGACTGAAAGGATCTGTTGCTAATATCTTGGTGCCAGATTTCACAGCACACCTTTAGGGGTCTAGCGAAATCTATGCTTCAACGGGTTAAGGCAGTTTTGACAGTAAAATGGGGACCAACACAATATTAGGCAGGTGGTCATAATGTTATGCCTGATTGGGATATGAGGCATTTTCAGAGCCTAAAAAAGTAATTAGATCATTAATTGACAAGCAATACTTTTGTTAAACTCCTTGAATTAAAGCTTAATGGTCAATGCATGCACAGTATGATTGTTTGATTTCAGATCTGCTGTGGTGGTGTACAGAGGCAAAACTACGAAACAAAAGTGTCTTATAGACTTAACTGTATGTGTACTCAGCTGCACTGTAAGTGTAATCTCTTCTCAGGAGTTCCTGTCAGACATGGCGATGTGTGAGGTGGATCGATTCATGGAGCGAGAGCACTTGATCTTTCGGGAAAACACACTCGCTACAAAGGCCGTGGAAGAGTACCTCAAACTGATAGGTCACAGATACCTCAAGGAGGCTATAGGTAAGGCTGCTTTATCAGTGCCCTGCTGACTGAATGAAGGTGTGTGTGCTTGAAGCTCTAAGTAAATACCTTTTTACTTCTTACTAAAATAGGCCAAGTTCATGCATAAGTAGCATCTGGCATTTAGTGTAACCGATTGTGCCATTGTTTGATGTTGTGCTTGTTTTTGTGACATGCACAATTACTCCCGTTTGTTGTGGCTCAATTTCAGAAATGCAGTCTCTATGAAAAATAGTCTGTCGCATCAGCAGAGACAAATTATATTTTAATAGGATTTCTGTGGCACAACATTAAATGCAAATGTCTTTTTTGTTAGCTTACATCTCAAAATACAAATGAATGGGGTGTCCGGTGTAAGACAAGTGTAACTAATGCAAGTCTAGTTAGACTAGCTGATTTTCTTTTTTATAAAAACTAGCTAAAATCAAACACATTTAGACATCTCCACTTTCATCCTATTTTTCATTATTTAAATGAAGAATGTTGAGAATTTAAGCTGTGCATCTCTGTGTGTGCGTGCAGCACCACTTTTATTAATCCTTGAAATACTCCTCTGCATTTATAAAACAATCTGTAAAGTAAAAACTATGCATATTTTATATTTATGTTTTTAAGATTCAGCCATTATTAAAGCAGTGTTATATTCACAGTTTTACATTTATTTACTTTAGTTGCGCCATTTTCTAGGGAAAAGGAAACAAATGTACAGTATGTGCAGTTGTGTGCAGGTTCAGTTGTCATTGCAGCTTCTTTTTGTATATAGTTTTTTTTTTCCCTATAAAGGTAAAGACTACGTAATCTACATTTTGTAGGTGACTTTATTCGAGCCTTATATGAGTCTGAGGAGAACTGCGAGGTGGACCCCATGCGTGTCCCACCATCAGTCCTCGCTGACCATCAAGCCAACCTTCGAATGTGCTGCGAGCTCCTACTCTGCAAGATTATCAACTCTCTCTGGTCAGTCTTGTGCCCTCAGAAAGCTCTGTATGTGCAGAACTGTTCTCATTGCATATTAATTGGTGCCTGAAAGTAACAGAGGACTGAAACTTTCAGTCTGCCGTCCATTTTGCCCAGACGAGTCATGTTCTCAATTTCCTTGAAAGCTGCAGAATTAAGTAGAAGTCAGTTAAAAAGGATATTAAACATTTTTTAAACTGAGGAAAAGAAACTGAATTATTAAAATAAACCCTGAACAAATACATTGTTTTGAGCAAGGAAAACTGCTCTTTTCTGTATGTTTTAAGTCTCCTGACCTTGAATTCCCAAGGGTTTCGCATAAGCTATAGCATTTTGTCTTGCTGTTCTCCCTGACAGTGGGAAATAAAATCATGTTCTTGTTTCAGCATATTTCCCCGGGAGCTGAAAGAAGTTTTTGCCTCATGGAGAGCCAGATGTGCTGAGCGCGGAAGAGAGGATCTCGCTGACAGCCTCATCAGCTCCTCTCTGTTTCTTCGCTTCATGTGCCCAGCCATCATGTCACCCTCCCTGTTCAACTTAATGCAGGAGTATCCCGCTGAACGCACGTCCCGCACGCTCACGCTCATAGCCAAGGTGATGCAGAACCTGGCCAGCTTCAGCAAGTGAGTGTCTGTATTCACCTGCCCTCTTACGCCAGCTGTGACGTTACACTCATTTGATTCAGTTCAGTTTTAAATCTGCAGACGTCTGACACTTGTGCTAGGTGGGATGGGTGTCACAGACTGACATCACGCAAATAGAGATTTGCAGTTTTGACTGCCAGGTTATAAGCTGTTACTCACCGACGCTGAACTCTGAGCCACCGCTCTGCACTCAAAGAATTGTCTTGAACATCATAACGAATTCCCCTGGCGTAACTAGGCCCCTGTGATTAGGACATCAAAATCACACACAGTGGTAATTTATTTGACGGCTTTAAAGAACTCTTTAGGATGTGCTCTCAAGGTCACACCTGTTATGCCAAAAATAACTTTTAAGATGAAACTCAGGCTTATTCTTAATTATCCCTTCTAACAGTTACAGACCTGAAACAATTAACTGATTAAACTTAACCTTCTGGATGGGCACTTTTTTGTCAAACAACTTACAGAAAAAAAACAAAAAAAAAACCCGAAAAAAAGAGACTCACTTTGGTGACACTGAGATAATGAAAGTAATTTCTTCCAGTCATACTCTGAGTTTTTAATTCCACACGTACATATAATAAAACATCAAAAGTAGCCAATCACATTTTATATAAAAGAGTATCTTTGAAGAGACCTTAGTTATGAACTAATCCAGTACAAATATTTTCAGGTGAACTTGATCAGAAAAGTGCAGGCCATTAATTTGGAGTGTCTTAAAGTGCACACTAGGATTCCTGTTATAAGTTTTTAAAGTGTGTGTGCAACATATTCATATAACAATAAAAATCCACCCTTTTCTCCTCCTCACTTGCCTCCATAATTTTCTTCAAAACTGCTTTGATCCTTCGCTCATACCGAGAGTGCTAGCTTGTGGCTGCCTTAGCTAAAGCTAATGCTCTGGATAGCATTAGCTTTAACTGCTTTGCCTTCATTAGTGTCTTTAAGATGTCTAAGTTCACCGGGGGTTTGATTAGGTGTGTAATTATGTTTGTTGTTTTGAACATTTTTATGATGATCCCTCGCTGTTTACTTGCTTACTGAACTTCTCGCTCAGAGTGAAGAACGTGCTAATGGCTACAGCCAAACTGTAACGACACCTGGCTGCTTATAGCGTGTGGCTGTGGGTGTGTGAGCGACTATTTGCCTGCTGTGCTTTGTTGTGCATCCATGAAACAGGCAGGCTCGTAATACGACATACGTAAGGCTGACCAGTCTGGACCGAGCGTACTGAAAATCAGGCGATCAAGCAGAATATCTTCAGTTCTTCTACTTATTAAAATTTGATGCCAGCAACATGGTTTAAACAAAGCTGGATCAGAACACTTTTGTAATAAGATACAAAGTAAAATCATTTAACAGTAGTGTTTGTTGAGTTAAAATAAGAATTTAGGTATTTAATATGTCTACTGTATAAAATGTTTTAAAAGGTTCAGAGAAACAAGGGAAATCTCCTTCTGTGAGGTTTAAGGTTACCAACTAATGCAACATTAAAAACTGTGATTCTGTCACTACACTCAACAACCAGGGATGTCAAATTCATTTTATATCGTGCGCCACATACAGCACACTTTCATTCAAGACCAGTAAAACTCCCCTTTCTGTCAGTGTAATGAAGTTTAACTACAGATTTAATCCCTGATATATCTTGATATAAGAACAAGCACTGCAATTTCAACAGCACATCTCAGTTTTTCTACACGATAACAAGATGCTGCTGTAGTAAATTAAAATAAATCAATATGCTTGTTTGGGCTTAAAATGTAAGAAATAAATATGAAAAATTACAGAAAAAGCTCTAGTAGTTAATTCCCCAGACTGCCCTATAATTATGAAACAGAAAATTAAAAAATCACTTAAAAGAAAAAAAAGTGGACACACTGTAAAATACAAAACAAAACAAAAGACCTCCGGGAAATTTTTTATTTAAATTTTTGGACTTTTCTCTCATTTAATTTTTTACCTCTACTAAATCACTCTGAGACCCTGGGATGGTCTCTATCAGTGGATAAAGCTGTAAAACCTATTAAAATACATGTAAAAGTCCAAAATTTATGCTTTCCTTGACATTTTCCATAGGTGCCCAGTGGGCTGGATTTCAGTCTTTGCTGGGCCAATTCTGGCCCTCGGGCCTTATGTTTGATACCCCTGCTCTAAACATCTATGCATCCACAAACACATGTTAGCTCTTTCCCGCTTGGTTGCCTATTAAGGGTAACCCTTTTTTTTTCTTTCCTGAAGGGAGGGGTTTCCGGCCCACTTCCAGAACTTCCAGTTTACTTACTGAAGCTACGCTCGGAAAAACTCGGAACCAATTGCAATGGTCGTTAAACCACATCTTTATTGATACACATGTTGAGGTGTCTTAATCCGTCATTAACTGCACCAATTAAAGGGAAAACATAAATGAGACAAAGAAGAAAACTGTCATGTGGTCTGATTAAAAACTTTTTTTTGGAAACTATGAAAGAAGCCAAAAGAGAGAGTCTTGGTTTTGGTATAAAGTTAAAAAGCCAGCATCCGTGATGGTATGGGGGTGAAATAGTACACTTCTGTAAAAGCTTCCTGAATGCTACATGCAGCTTTTGGGAGCAAACCCATGCTACCATTCAGATATAATCTTTTTAGGGAAGGTCTAGTTTTTGTTTGTTTGAATATTATTAATTTATTTTTTTTTTTTACAATAAGTCAATGACAAAACACATTAAGCATGTATTAGAGCATTAGAGCAGCATGGCTCTGTAGTACAAGAATCCAGTTGCAAAACCGGTGATTGCAGTCCAGACTCGTCACCCGCTGAGAACATTTGATGCATTTCAAAATGAAAAATGCTACAAAGGTGCTCTGACTTGCTGAGCAGCTGAATTCCTACATCAAGCAAGAATAGGAAAATGGTTAGCAAATGCTCACAGTGTGCCGTTATAAGAAAAAGTGATGCAATGTAGTGGTAAACATACCCCTGTCCTGGCTCTTTTGACACATGTTGCAAACATAAAATACAACATTTGCATTTATTTAAACATTAGAGTTAAGTGATTTGCGCATTATTTGGTGCAGCGTGCTGTAACACACTCATAATATCAGAATTACAGAACAACAAGAAAGTCAACGAGCCTTTTGAGTGTATTTCATATAAAACTGTAACAGCTCAAACCCTACGCTTTAGATCCGCTAACAGAGCGCGCAGCGTGTTTCCAAATTCTTCTCTTGTCTTCACGTGTCCTACAAATGTTGCCTGTGATGTGTGTGCAGATTTGGACCAAAGGAGGAATACATGTATTTCATGAATGAGTTCCTGGAAATGGAGTGGGGCTCCATGCAGCAGTTTCTCTATGAGATTTCCAATTTGGACACTGGAGGAAACGCAGGAGGGTTTGAGGGCTACATTGACCTCGGAAGAGAGTTATCCATGCTCCACAGCTTACTGTGGGAAGTCATGGGCCAGCTTAGCAAGGTAGGTGGAATAACTCGATGAGTTCAAATAAACATTTAGTGTCTGTTTGAAAGTTGTTGTTAGTGGAAAGTGAACCATAGTTTTCTGACAAACACAGGAGAGCAATCAGCATTCTAAAAACTGAGATATAATTGGTTTTATAATTAAACTCCAACTTCCTCTCACAGTCCACAGACATGCATCGGGTTAAGTGAACTGGCCATATGTGTGAATATGAGCATGAATTGTTGTCTATCTTTGTGTGTTAGCCCTACAAGACTTGTCATCTGTCCACCTCTCGCCCTGTGGTGGCCCTCTGAATCCGTAAACATGTCAGGAATTGTGCAATGCTCAATTTCCTGATAGTTAGCTAGCTGAATGGAGCTGTCAATAAGACCCCTGAGTGAAAGGATGCAAGTTATAAATGAAAGCTGGAACACACGATTAAAAACCCCCAAAAGACTGATGTGATGTGTGGACTGGCTGCCTGTTTAATAAAGTAGAATATGAGTCAGTTTCATTGAATCTCTAATAAATATTTATTATAGCTTTAAGATATTTGTATGGCAATTTCCTGTCTCTGCGCCCTTTTTTAAAATCACTCCCTGTCAAGCCTTCACCAGCAGTATAATGAATTAAAACCTAGCTCATCAATACACAACATAATTCCTTTTACCTTTTTATCTCGTCTTTTTTCCGGTTGGATCTTTCTCCCAGTTGGCAGTGCTGCTAAAACATGGTCAATAAAATAGCCTGCAGCGGGAAAATAAAAAAGAGTGTGGGAACTGCTGTTTGCAACCATTTGAGCTTTTTGTCTATTCTTGATTTTGAAAACCTGTCCGTTCTGCAGGATGCTATACTCAAACTTGGACCCCTGCCTCGACTGCTGAACGACATCAGCGTCGCTCTGAGGAACCCGCAGCTTCACATGCCGACAAATCACCAGCCGGACCGACCGAAGGACAGACTCTTCTCCCGCCCGTCCTTCAATCGTCTTATGTCCTCTGATTTCCAAAGTCTTATGATGCGTGACTTAAACAGGTACCTTCTTGTGTTTGTGTTTTTTTCTTGTCAGCGATTCTGGACATGAAAATATATTTGCATACACCCAAAGGGAACAAAGCCACAGCAGGATCAGTCCCCGCTGTGACTCTATCAAGACAATATATATTATGCTCACTCAACCCACATAAAGACAGTTTCACAAGGGTGTAATTAGCGACAACACATAAAAAGGCCAAGAATACATAATAAGAGAGTTTTTATTAGCTCAGGACTACACGGGTGTATTTCTAAGAGCCTCTAATGCTAATGCTAATGCACCTCTTCAGGCTTTTAAAGTATTTTATCAATCAGTAAATGTGGGCACCATCTGTTCCCGGACTCTCCTGCCTAAGCTTTTTTCCCTGTGTGCTTTCATTCATGCTAGCACTGTCAGATTGTCAAGAGACTGTTGTGCCATGACTGCCTGTCTAAATGGCCCTTTAACATGAATAACAGTGATTACATTTTGTGGCGCATATTTTGTGTTTGTTAAACGCAAAGTGCAGTCATGTGAAAAGAACATTTGCACACGACTGTGCAATAAGTACACCCTTACTGCTTACACAGGAGGGTAAGTAGCAGTCAGCTGCTGCTAATCAAAGGTACCTGATTGACTGATTATCAGCAAGTGTGATCAGCTTTATGAAAGTTTGCTGGTCTGGAGCATTCAGGTGTGTGTTAAACGCAATGCTGGAAACTTATTTTTAGTTTCTCTGCACAAAGAACAAAACAAAAAGTTACATCTTAGTGTCTACAGGCCTCAGTTAGCATGTCAAATGTTAAAATTCATGACAGTACAATTAGAAAAAGATTGAGCAAGAACAAGAAAATGTCCTTTTGACTGATGAGACCAGAATGAGATGTTTAAATGTAATGCACAGCCCCACATTTGGAGAAAACCAAACACAGCATATCTGCAAAAAGAACCTCATACCAACTGTTAAGCACGACAGTGGAGTGGTGATGATTTGGGTTTGTCCTGTGGACACATGTCCTGGGCACCTTGCAGTCAGTGAATCAACCATGAACTCGTCTGTATACCAAAATATTCTAGATTTGAAAACGAAATTGGGTCATGCAACATAACAATGAACACTAAGCAGAGCAGTGAATCTCTAAGAGAGTCCAGACCTTAATCAGACTGAAATGCTGTGATGAGACCTTAAAAGAGCCGTGCATGAAGAAATGCCTGCAAACTTCAAAAGAGTGGACCCAAATTCCTCCACAATGACTGCAATTAAATTCACCTTACCAAACATTTTATTTGTTAGGGACGAGACCAGAACTAAAACTGTAAAAATTCATTTAAAATCTGCTCATTGCAAATTTAAGAGGACAGTGATGAAACACCTGGAAAGTCAACATCAGGAATGACACACCTGCCGGCGTTAACTCCAAGAGGTATCACACTGACAGAAATCATTCGTCGGATTAGATAATTGTTTTTTTTTTTTTCTATAGTGTATACTGTACTCTTATAGTTGTAATGCATGACTTGCTACAAGGCCTCTAGTGTCTAGTAGGAAAATAAAATCAGTCCGCCAAAATCGAAAACTAAGACTTTTCCCATAAATACTCCCTACGTATACAGTTTTTATTTATTTATTTTTTTTGTACTTCAGATGGGGTGTGGAAATTATGGTTCTAGAGTTCATTTTGTGTGTCACCCATTCTACCCTGCTGGATCACTCACTACTGAAAAGCTCACTTTTATTTAGTTTCAAATGTGAGATTTCAAATTCGACTGCTACACTTCGGAAAAAATTTAAGCTATTTATCTGATTATTCAGATTTTTATATATATATATATATATATATCAGTTTAAATCAATACAAGCAATAAACAGGGGTTACAATATTAAAATACCTCCTTTGTATCAAGGAAAAAAAATTGCCAGCTCTGCAGTTGCTGGACTGCTGAACTGCTCTACCACCTGAGCCAAAGCCACATGACAATCAAATGGGATAATCGAAGATAATGAGCAGAAATATCTTGATGGAGCTCTTTGGTAAGGTGTCTGTTTATTTTTTCTTTAGTTCAATAGACATCTCTCGCCTGCCGTCCCCCACTACTGGAGTGTCAGCTGTAGAATCCCTCACGTCTAACCTGAACATGAGGCGGCACGCTGAACGCGACCTTCGTTCGTCGAGGGAAGTGTTCTATGTGACCCGCCCACCCCTGGCTCGATCAAGCCCTGCGTACTGCACGAGCAGCTCGGACATCACAGAACCTGATCCGAAGGTACTGTGGGTCAGTCACCTTGCATGTGTGATAAATTTCAAAAATCTTTTTTTTTCATGGATGCCAGACTGCCACACTTGTTCATACCACCCAGGAGAAACAACAAACCGCTAATGACTCTATTAGAGTCTGAGAAATTCAGACCCTGTTAACAGTCAGTGGCGTCCCATGTCGGACAACAAATTGGTTGGTTGTTCGTTATTTAAAAGGGACAGTCCACATTAGTAACCATATCTATGAGCTTCAGATTGGTCCCAGAGCTGTTTTTCCCATCTTGACAGATGGTCATCCTAAAAGCAACATATAGGCATATATTTTCTTTGCCATGAGCCAAAAAAAGCTATTTATTAGTATCTATGCTTCTCTTTGGTGCTGTATTGTTTTCTTCTGTCTCTCAGGTCCACAGTGTAAACAAAAGTGTGTCTATGATGGACCTTCAGGACTCTCGTATGAACAGCATTTCCAACCTGAACTCTGTGGGAGACATGCTCACCTCCTCTCAGGCCTCCATCGCAGGTCTCGGCCACAGCTTTGGGAACCTCGGCGGTCCTCTTCGTATGGGCGGGCATTTGCCGAGTGGTTCAGCGGGCTCTGGTCTGAGAATAAGCCAGATGGGTCATGTAGGGGGCCCGACCGAATCCATCTCTCAGCAACAGCAGCAGGCGGCAGCAGCTATGCACTTCCCCCTGTCTTTCCAGAACCCACTATTCCATCTGGCCGCCCAGAACTCCCCGGCTCAGTCGGCCCAGCCTCCCCCTCCTCTTCTCCTCGCCCCTGAGCCTGAGAATGGCCATCACGACTACCCACCGGCCTTTGGCAACAGTGCTTTCTCTCGCAGCGAGGACTTGTCCGCCCTGCGGTCACAGAGCAGTCTGGTACAGCCGAGCATCGTCCACTCACACAGCTACAGTGATGATTTCACCCGGCAGAATCAGAGCAATGACTATGCCTGGCACCAGCTGTCGCTGCAGGTTCAGGTAGGAGTCTAATTTTTCCTGACACATAGAATAAGAAAGTTTGATGTTTCTTTGGCTTTCATAAATAACAGCAAAACATATACAGTTAGGCTCATAAGTATAGGGACAGTGACTACATTTTTGCAGTTTGCTTCTGAAGACAGCTACAGTGGATTTTAAATTAAATAATCCATAATACGTGATTTAAGTCCAGAGTTTGGGCTTTAATTCAAGGGATTTAACAAATGTATGTCATTAACTGTTTAGGAATTTGCAGCCATTTCTATACATCAAAAAAATTAGACTGGAAAATTTTTAAATATGAGGATTTTTTTGAGTTTTCAAAGATTATATGGTGGCTCATCTGATGCTTTTTGATTTTTCTGATCTCATATGAAGCAAATCTCTTAGAGGACTTACTATTTAAGCTGCTTTAGCCTGACAACAGTTGTATTTGCAAGCCACTTTGCAACCTCCTCCTTTCATGCCATCTTTATCTGTTGTCATCAGTGTTTTCATTGTTTTACATGCATGTTTTGCGTCTGCTCTCCTTGGAGATGTCAGAGTAGATTTAAAGCATTAAATAGTACTGCACCCCTCTGTTTCTTAAAAGAATATATTAATTTAAAAAAAAATATAAACAATGCATTTGTGCTGGCTATTTTTGTTAAAACGGGTATCATTTTGTGTTGTAATACAGCAATGTGCAAATGTCTGGAGTAACACTTTGTTTCTTTATATTTTTGCTTCCAAGGAACCAGACTTTCATTTTTTTTTTCACTTTTTCTCAAAAATGGTCTTGAGCGGTACTTCACCAGGCTTTCTTTGGACTTTGAAAATGGTCAGGTACAAGGACTGAACTGAAAATGAGTGAAAAAGAAACCAGAGGAGTGTTTTGTTTGGTTTTTGTGATTCACTTAACTCTAAACTATGAATCATTAAGGCATAAAAAGGCAACTTACTCAAGGGATAAACCAGTGTTTGCTACACACAACATATAACTTAGCAAAAAAATAATTTAAATGTTATATTTTGCCATTTTGTTACTTTGTTTTTATAGACACATCATTTGTTCCCTGTATTTAAATCAGTGAAAAATGCCAAAGATAACGCAATTTGTCAGGCCCAAAAGCAAAATATTTTTGCAACAACTAGGTGATTCCCAAAGACTGATTAGCTGTAACCTTGGCATATCTTAGCTTGGTGTGCAGTGCGTCCTTAAAAAAATCTGAGGAAACTGAACAAGAGGACAACAGAAAAAGAAGCGGTAGGCCTAAAAAATTATTTGCAAAAAATGAACAGTATCTGAAGAAACGGGGAAAATATCCAGCAGAGAGCTAACACAGGACCTGAAGGAAGTATCTGGGCCTTCAGTTTAACTGCTGTTCATCAGAAATCGTTTCGGTGGAAGGGTGACTGTGAAGAAGCCATTATTAAAGATAGGAAACATGAAGAAAAGACTTCGGTATGCCAGATTACACAACTGGACTGAAAATCAATGACAACAGGTCCGATTGAGTAAAAAATTTGTAATTTTTTGGTTCAAGTTATCGTCATTATATATGGACGAGCTCAGGGGAGTGACAACCATGAGGGTCTACAGTCATCTGTAAAACATGGTGGAGGCTCTGTCATGGTTTGAGGCTACATTTCTGCCACTGGTGTTGCAGATTTGGTTAAAATTGATAGACATGCAATGTTATCTGGAAACCAGCCTTATTTTTCAGCATGATCCCAAATGCACTGCCAATGCAGTAAAAGCATACCTGGATAGAAAAACTCACAATGGCACACTGTCAGTCATGGATCTTGGCATAAAACAGAATAAAAGGCAGCAGATATCCAAAAAGAGCCGTGAATGTCCATCAAGAAACCTGGAGAACTATTCATGCCGAATACTTAAAGAAATTATAATAAAGCTTTGTCAGTTAGTTAAGGCTGCATTGAAGAATAACCATGGTCATACCGAACACTGACTTTTAGCTCATTAGAATTATATAGCAGTTTTTACCTCATATATTGCATTTCCATGTATTTCCATGTTTGAATAAATGCTTCGCCAATTTCCCACTTTCCTAGCAAATATAGAGCAACAGGAGGTGATTCAGAACAGTTGCACAAGTTTTTTTTTTTTTTTTTAATTCCCTAAATATATGATTTAAAATATCACTACCGCGTCTTTTGCATGTTGTGATGAGGACGGCCACAGCCAAGCTCTGTTAAAAAAGATCTGTATTGTTTTGGTTGTTTTTTTGTAATTCCCAGCCAAATTGCCTAACATACTTAGAGGCTTGCCATTTATTCTTAGTGTGAGTTTAACACCTCGACTGAGTCACTGAATTCAGATTAGCATTTGGAGTCCATTAGGTCCTCCTTGCACTTTTGTTTTCGCTGTGTTGAGACTGGTTGTCAGATTGCATATAAAGCTCAAATGTTTTTTTGTTTTGTTTTTTTAAATGGCCCTTTCCTGAGCTGCATGATATGCAAATGCGACAGAAACCTAAGGGTACTTGACAGGCTACAGACAACGCACTGAAGTATCATTCACTCGCCTGCTCTGCTGAACTTTATAGAGCGCTTGACATCCATCACACACTGTGTCCTCATTTCGACGGAGCTGGATACTCGCGGTCGGTCAATAGGGCAGGAAAAAGTGTTGAAATGCAGATACTACGCGGGTAGTTATTAATCAGTCTGTGTCGTAAGATTGAAAACTTGAGTTAAAGCAATTAAGTTAAACTGCCATTTGTTTAATAGAGTTTAGAGATTCTCGCATTTTACAAAAAATGTAAATGAAACGGCTTGTAGTGAACTTTTTGGCTTTTTGGGGCTGTTGATCCATCACAGTGACAAGTTTACTATGACATCTGTGTAAAATGATAGCGTTTAATGACGGTGTCATGTAGTTGAGCTATTTCTGTCCTGATGCGTGGGCTTTAATGGAACAAACATCACAAGCCTCCTGCGTATTAATGCAGATGGTGTAATCAGGAGAGTGCTTTATGAATTCATTACCTTTCCTTCTATCCATCTATCTGTTTATTCATATGCATACGTCTGATGTTTTAACACTAAATGGCTATTCATGACCATCCACACCTCTCGGGTTAACTGGGGCGGGTGTGTTTATGTCTCCAGTGTCAGAACGAAACATCAGCTTTTGGTGGTTATATACTCACCTGAAGGCTGAACCCAGAAACCCTGGGTTTCAATTAATATGTGTGGCACTGAGGTAGTAGCCATTAAATACAGAGCAAAGTAAAGGTTAAAGACAGGCTGATGTCCAATCAGCTGCTTTTGTGTTTTCACATGCACCTCTGTTCAATAAGTCAGAAAGGTTGAGTGAGTATTATTAATTATTTGCCTTTAATTCTCCTCTTCTCTTAGGAGTCTCTTCAGCAGCAGCACCTGATGGGCGTCACATCTCAGACACCCACAGGCACAGGCACGCCTGCATCTTTGGCCACGCCTCCCACCACAGTCCATCCTGTCCGCCAGACATCCATCGCCGCCCAGCACCTCAAGTCCCAGCGGTCCATTAACACCCCGGCCACTTCCACGCCTCCAAAGGTCCGTCCTCAGAGCAGAAACCTCCTCCTTAACTCTTCTGAAACAAACTCGAGCGGCAGTCAGCCAAAATCCCGGCAGGCTCAGCAGCAGCCACAACAGCAGCAGCAGCAGACGCAGCAGCCGACGGTGCAGACGCAGCAGGACGGGCAGCTGTCGGTGACAGACAGTCCGGCTCCTGGGCTCCCGTACCAGACGAGCTCCGCCAAAGAGAACCAAGTCCCGCCGGCAGGCGCAGAGGAGGCAACGGACACGCCCACAAAAAGCACCAAGAAGCCTCAGCAGTCACAGCTGCAGCCGCCACAGCAGCATCTGCTCAAGCCAGTCGTCAATAAGCAGGTGAGTTTCAAAACAACAAAAATATACACAAGAATCACTGTTAAATGTCATGGGACAGAATCTAACTACTTAGACCAATACGTGCTTGTTTCAGGGTTCTCAGTCCACTTTGAACACCCCGTCCCTGAATGAGCGGACGGTTGCCTGGGTGTCCAACATGCCACATCTCTCTGCTGACATCGAGAGCCTGCGGCCGGACCGTGAGGGCCAACTCAAAGAGTACTCAAAGAGTATGGATGAGTCACGGCTGGAAAGGGTTAGCAATTTTTTCCCCCCTACACCTCTTCAAATAATACACATAACGTTTGCACCTTTCGTCCACACGTAAACGGCATTTTCGGTCACTGAAAACGGAGATTTTTAAAAACTCCGGCCAGGGTGGATATTTTTGAAAACTCAGTTTTTGCATTTATGTGTGGATGAGAAAAACAGAAAACGCAGCATCAAAGGTGTGCGCCTTTTTTGACGTCACACTGTGCGCCACGTTATTGTTTCGGTGAAATGAATTTCTACAATACTGTTACTGTTAATTGTACTCTCTGCAGTGTTTAAATGCTTACATATACACACATAGTTACTGTCCCTCCACACATACCACTCGGTTCTGCTTCTATGCTCCATCCTTGTTTACTATTTCCCACTGAGGCTTCTAGACTTCTGATTGGCCAACATTTCTACACGGTTAGGAATATATCGCCACCTGCTGCTTTGGCATGTTCATAGCAGCGTTTTCCTTCATTTCTGCGTTTATGTGTGGACGGGATTATTTTTTTAAAACGAAAACAGAAAATCTCCGTTTTCAAAAATACCCGTGTACGTGTGGACGTAGCCTCAGTTAATGCAATGTGTTTAGGCTCTGTGGCTGCAAACCAGCACAAATTATCACCCTTCCACCACTTGACAGCTGGTATGAGGTGTTTTGTGCTGGTGTTTGGTTCCTGCAAAACGTGGTGCTGGTCATTATGGCCAGACATCTGCACTTTGGTCTGGTCTGTGCAAAGGGTTTTGTTGTGAAAGTATTGTGGTTTATTCTTTCTAGAGAAAACAGGCTTTCTTCTGGCAACCCTTCCAAACAAACCGTACTTGTTCAGTCGTTTTCAAATTTTATTGTCATAAACTTTAACATCTAACAGGATAACTGCGGCCTGTAAAGTCTGAGATGTATCTCTCGGGTTTTTTGTCATTTCACTGAGCATTTTGCCATTTGACCTTGGGATGAAATAGCTGGGACGTCCACTCGGAGGAAGATTGTGGCATTGTGTTTACTAATACCTGAATGCACCAGACCAGCAAACTGCCAGAACTTCTGCTTTTCTAGAAGAGCTCACAGTTGTTGAAGATCAGTTAATCAAGTGCATTTGATTAGCAGCACCTGCCCTCTGCTTACCCTCTTAGTTCCTATAGAAGCTTTAAAGATGTACTTAGTTTTTTATAGGGCTGTAAAGGTGTCATCCTTGTGTAGCCATGAATCACTTTGATCACTGCTGTCACATTCTGACCACTTGTGCATCTGCGATGTGTGTTGGATCTCCTTCATTGTGTCTGATCAGGATCCTTTAACTGAAGTTTAATTTAGAAGAAGCAGCTGTGCAGATTCAAATTTCTTATAAAGAAATTTTGGGGCAACCGTGGCTCAGGGGGTTGGGAAGCGCATCTGTAACCGGAAGGTCACCGGGCTCTCTGCCCTGGTCGTTGTGTCCTTGGGCAAGACGCTTTACCCTACTGCCTACTGGTGTTGGCCAGAGGGGCCGATGGCGCGATATGGCAGCCTCGCTTCTGTCAGTCTGCCCCAGGGCAGCTGTGGCTACAACCGTAGCTTGCCTCCACCAGTGTGTGAATGCGAGAGTGAATGAATAGTGGCATTGTAAAGCGCTTTGGGTGCCTTGAAAAGCACTATCCAATCCATTATTATTATTATTATTATTATTATTATTATTATTATTATTATTATTATTATTATAAAGCATGGTGATGACTGAATATTGTGTTGCTATGTTTAAAAAAATAAAACAAACACAAAAAATGCAATTTTTTTTTTAAAAGTCAATGAATGCGGGAGGACTGTCGTATGCTGGCATCTGTCACAGCTGAGGTCGTCAACCAAATGTTCTCCCTCAGATGCCTCATAATGTTTAGGATACTGCGCTGACAGATTGGCCCTGAGGGTACAAATTGTACAACACAGTAAAAATCAACAAAAAGACAAACTGGTGTGTGAGGATCTTTCATTTCTGTGTGGATCAGTTGAATCAGACTGATGCAGAATTTGATATTTGCTCTGTGCACAAGTTTGAGTTCCCTTGTGAAATCACACATATGCACAAATGGTCAGAACAGGACTTGTAAAAATAGCAGCCACGCTGGAAGCAGCCCAGAGGTGCACAAGGAGATGACCTCAAATGGAAGATTGGCTAAATATAAAAAGAGTGCAGTTGATTTTTATACATATGCATGCTTCTCTTGCCTCCAGATTGGAGCTTTAACACAATTATGCAGGGGTATTGGCAGAAAGCATTTTGTATAATGAATAACTCCCACACTTGCGCCTATTTTAGAAACAATGCAGTGCTTAAGAGATTGAAACTGGTGCACATTAAAGCCCAACACTACTCCACTTCACATTTATCCCACTTGTTGCTCAACATAAAAGAGAACTGAACAATAAAGTGTCGTCTCCATGGATAAAATCACTCATCATTCAGGATTTTTTTTTTTTTCGGAATACCAATAATGACATGAGTGAAGTGCAATTATTTCATTCACTCTTTCAGGTTAGAGAATACGAAGAAGAAATTCACTCGTTAAAGGAGCGACTGAAGATGTCTCATCGCAAACTTGAAGAATACGAGCAGCGACTTCTGTCGCAGGAACAACAGACCAACAAGATCCTGCAGCAGTATCAGAACCGCCTGGAAGACAGCGAGCGCCGCCTGAAGCAGCAGCAAATGGAGAAGGACTCTCAAATCAAAGGCATCATCAACAGGTGATTAGTGTGGCGTTCAAGCTCAGGCTGGTAGACGTGAGGCTGTGCCAGTTACTGCCGGGCTTCATCGCGCTAATGAGATTTATCACACTGATATACATTTTTTTTTTAGTTGGCTCGCACACGTTGCTATTAAATTCATGAAATAACCAAAACTTTAAGTCAACACTAAGTTTCAAAATAATGCCCAACATCACAATAAAATATCTAACTGTAAAGTGGAGTGCGATGAAACAGAAATGGTGCTTTTAGCATGGGTTACACTCAACACTCATTGGACCTGGTCAGATAAAGACTTCTGTCATTAGCAGTCCATTTTGTTTAAAAGCACTGCGAGCTGTAGACTGAAGCTCTAAAAGGTGGTTAAAAGATGGTCACCAGCTTCTCTAGGTTTCCAGAAATTGCCTCTAGCTGTTCTGAAGCTCAGAATAACACCGCTCGGCTGAGTGGAGGAAGCAGCATTAAATGCCATTCGAAACTAAACTCAAAGACCTTCACAAACTATGACTAAACATTAAGTACTGAAATGCAGCTTGCGTCATGCCACATGTATCATTGTTCAGCATTTTGGGAAACATGTTTTCTTTCTTTCTTGCAGAGAGTTTAGAGAGAAGATTGGAGACAGTTAGCATTAGCTTAACCGTAGCGTTAGCATTAGTTTTTAGATTTCTGTTGTTTTTTTTGTTTTTTTTTTATAGGATTCAGAGGCTTTCACTATGTATTTCTTACTTACTCACTTACTTTTGAAAACTCTTTACGCCAAGCTAAACGCCCCCTGCTTTGACTCTGTGGATTTTTTGTGTAAAATCAACTGATCGTCACCTTTTGTGTATTCATCCACCTATTTTTACACATGTTACACAGCACATACAGTGGATACTGCACTGTGCAAATGTTTTGAGGCGCTGCTCATTTCTTTATATTTTGCCTGGAAAAATGGTAAATAGATGTAGCAATTAACAGAGTTAATATAATTTTAACCCCCCCTGCCCCTTTATTCTTCAACACAGCCTGAACCCCTTGATGCAGCTTTCATGTCATTTCTTTAAGTAGTCTTCATGAATAGTTCTACAGTCTTCTTGAAGGACATTCAGAGCTCTTCTTTGGATGTTGGCTGCTTTTTTTGTTCTGTTTTCTGTCAACATGATCCTACACTGCTTTATAATGTTAAGGTCCAGGCAATGGGGAGGCCCATCCATGACTGATAGCATTCCACTGTGTGTTTTTCTATCCAGGTAGGCTTTTACTGCATTGGCACTGTGTTTGGGATCATTGTCATGCTAATAAATGAAGCTGTTGCTGTTATGATGTCCAGATAGTATTGCATGGCACCTCAAAACTAATATTACGTATCTCAGTTTTCATGCGATCTCTAATAACGCTATCTTAAATTCTGAATATTTATAGATGACTGTAGACATTTATCTCAAATTTGAGGTTCATTCATCACTCTTTAAGACCTGTTGCCATACCTCAGCCTTTTCTTCCTGCTTACCTTCCTTAAGAATGGCTTCTTGACAGCCACTCTTCTATTCAGATTATTTATGATGAGGCTTGAGTGAACAAACAATAGACTGACCAAAGGTCCAGATGCATCTCTCACTTCCTGTGTCAGTTTTTTGCTGGATTTTTTTTTGTTGTATGTCTTAAGGATGAGACTTTCAGATACTGTTCATCTGCTGTAGATGTTTTTTAGGCCTGATGTCTCTTTTTTTTTGTCAAGGAGATATCAAGGAGAGATTTTCCTCAAAGCTCTTTTAGGAATCAACATTGTGGTTCAACGATAATGTTCTATGCCTCTCAAACGGTGCAATCGTTGGCATTTTTCATAGATTCAACAGGAAAAAAATGAGAACACACTGCTAGTAACAACGTTCCTGAAGAAACCATTTCAAATTGGTTCTTTGATAAGTTGTCTATGATGTATAGACACAACACTCATTCATCCCTTGAGTTTCTATGTTTCAGTTATGCTTGAATAAAGATCACTTTTTAAAAAATCAAGAAAGTCGGCCTCCTTCAAAGCGAAAGATAAAGAAATGAGGGTTCACTCAAGCCTTATGCACAGTATGGTATAATCACAAGTATTCTTCTTTTAGCTGCTCCCATTAGGATTAGCCACAGTGGATCATCTGCCTCCATCTCATCCCAGCACTCTGCATGTCCTCCTCAGCTACATCCATGAACTTCCTCTGTGGTCTTCCTCTTTTCCTCCTGCCTGGCATCTCCATATTCAGCGTCTCTTATCCGATGGATCTACAATCCTCCCTCTGCACATGTCCAACCATGTCAGTCTTGCCTCTTTGGAAAGCTCAACCCGAGCTATCCTTCTGAAGTAGTCATTTCCAATCTTGTCCATTCTGGTCCTTTCCAATGAAAATCTTATCTTCAGCTCTTCCACCTCCACCACTTGTCTTATAGTTAGTGCCACCAACTCCAAGCCTCTTCTCAGCTTAGCTTCAACAACTCTTTCCCATATCTTCATGGTATGGCTCATGAGCTTTGTTCCACCCCCTGTAGTTATTACATCTCTTCTCATCGCCCTTGTTCTTTAAAACTGGTTCTAGTGCATGTCTTCTACATTCCTTAGACATCTCATGTGCTAAAATCGAGTTAACCACTCTGGTCAATAAATGCTCTGCCCTCTCTCTTAGATATCTCCACATCAAATATGTCAACCACCTTTGTACTCTTCATCCAACACTGTGCAGGATTCTTCCTTCTTCAACTTCCATCACTTAATCTTTGTCTTTACTCACTTCCTCTTCTCGATTGTGTGTCAACCTACACACTGCCATCCGATGCTCCCCTGACACCACCTTGCAGAGTCGTATCTGTTTCACATTGCACCTTCTGCATAAGATGTAGTCCACCTATGTACACGCCACTCTTATACATACATGCTGTATATTCACAAGTATGCAAGGCTGAAATTTTGGGAGCACTGCATGAAACAAAATGCATTAAAGAACGAAGGAAACAGATTTATTATAGATGTGCCACTAGTGCATTAGACTAAAACATCCCATCTGTGCGAGTGGTTAGACTTTAATGGTCCGTTCCCACCTAATGTGTCATTCGTCACAAAAACTGCAGGAAAATTAAAAAAAACTAACAGCGAGGGAGACCGTTCATATTGGCTGTGCATAACCTGTAATCGGAGGTTTATTCACCAATCAGCAGCTGGCTCTGTTTAATAAGTCCAAGAAAGGGTATGAAGAGTGTAGTACTTAAAAAAGAAAAAAAAAATGTATATATGTAAAAATTACACACTTGTCCTGTGGGTGGCCTAGTATCTTTCAAGCTTTTATCCTCTACCAGAGGCCTGCGCAGTATCTTAGCTGTTCCTAGGACTGCGCTCTTCTGGACAGAGATCTCGGATGCTGTTCCTGGGATCTGCTGGAGCCACTCGCCCAGTTTGGGAGTCACTACACCGAGTGCTCCGATTACTACTAGGACCACTGTTACTTTCACCCTCCACATCTTCTCAAGCTCCTCTCGCAGCCCTTGGTATTTCTCAGGCTTCTCATGTTCCTTCTTCCTGATGTTGCTAACACTTAGTATGACTACATCTATCCGGCTGCTATATATCAGCAGTAAAAGACTGATGGGGTATTGGTGAATGCCGTAACTACAGAACGAGGTGACATTAGAGTTTAAAACTGAAACCATAGGTGCATCTACTAAAACTCATTATTATTCTGAGTTTGATTCTCAGTGTTCTCAAATTTAAGGACAGAGGTCAAGTTTTCTAATAATCTTGTGAGTTTGATGAAGAAAAAGGTAGGATTTTGAAATTGATATCATAATTGCATCTACCAGGGGGCTGAGGAGAAGCACTGAGAGCTGCCAGTATTTTCTTTAATTTTGTTTTTGCAGTTTTCCACCATTTGAGATGTGACTCGCATACACAGCATCATTATTGTTCTTGTTTTATTTTTGTTTTTCTCCTTTCTCCACATTGGTTAAATGGCATCAGACTTTTGTTTCCACAGGGTACCGTTTACTTGCTGAGTAGAGTCGAGATAATCTCAAACCTTCAAACACAAAGCAAATTAGGCATAATTCCCAAATGTGGTACATTTAAATATAACTAATGCCAGAAACTTCACACCCATTAAACTAGAATATCAATGTAAACACCTCTGGTGTGGTTATGTGTCAAGTTATTTATTTAACACTCATTGATTTTACTGTAGTAAGTATTAAAAGGAGGAGGAAACCAGGCCAGAATAACAAAGATGATAGCTTTGGGGCAAATACTACTTGGAATGAAGTTGAGTTTATAACTAATGAGATGCTGGTGTACCACAATAAATTCCTTTCTGAAAGCTACATTTTTACAAAATGCACAAAGCTAACATGTCATCTCATTGGGTTGAACCCATATGAAAAGATGGGTGTACACTTAACCGTCTTAAACACACTCATTTCACAAATTCTCTATCTCCGCAGTTGAATGTGAACTTCCTCAGTAGCTGAATCAGAGCCTCGGGAGGCTCTGATTCAGCTTCAGGCAGCTCTGAGGATGGCTGAATGTGCCCACAAACATGTCAAGACCTTAATATCATCATATGGCCGCATAATCCTACAGTAAAAATGAAGAACACCGGCTTCATTATTCTATTTTTGTCAACCGGTATGTTTGTTTCTATTTCCCTGTTGTCAGACTCATGGCTGTGGAAGATGAGCTGAGAGGGGGTGCCATTCCTGATATTAAGCCTCGAATCCTCACAGACCAGGTTTGTGCCTGTGTCTACCTCTTTTATCATCCCTATTCGCTAATCCAGTCATGTCCTAAAACACTTTTGCTTCATTCTTGCATCACATCCAGAGCATTTGCCGCAAAGCCAGTGCAGGGGAAAAGTTTGCAGCTGTCATACACGCCGCTTATCCCCATCTTTCAAAAGTACATATGTCACATCTGAAATCACATCTTACCATTTACTGCACACGCCTGAAGGGGGAATGGCGCTGATTCTCAAAATCAACACCTGGGGTTTATGTACTGAGTGTGTCTATGTGAAGGAATAGCACGTCTTCAACACAGAAACCGAATGTTATTTACCACAAAAACACGCATTCATCATGAGAAAACCTTGACTGTGACTCACCAGCAGCATCACAGTAATCCTTCAGGGCTTGGTTTCATGAATGCACCATGTGGGCTGAATGGTGACGCAGGTGAAGAGGCTGCGCGCGGCTGCTGAGTTAGTGCCGAAATGTGCTGTACTTAAAAATATACTGTCACCTTCTTTTGAAGCTCTCGGTGTCAGGAGCAAACAGTAAAAATAGCCTCTCGAAAATACAGACCACACATAGAAATCTTCAATGGGCCTGCTGTGAGATTGTAAATGTTTTTACACCAGACTTCTCAAACAAATGTGAGTGAGTGATGAGGAAAAACAATCAAACCTTGCAACCAAATTTAGACCCTAGTAAAACAGTTTCATTTGGGCTAAGCGCTAAGTAGGATTAGTCTTTTAGCTCAAAGTGCTGTCATGGGGTAAATACTCGCTGAAGAAGAATAAATGTGTTGAGAAATGTTATTCCTTCAGATCGGGGGAGTTGCGCTAATTACGATGAGCCTCCTCATGACCGAAACTGAAATTTAAACAAATGGTTTAAGACATGTTTGTCTGCCTTCTTCAAAGGAATTAGATGGAAAAAAAATCTTTATAGAAGATTTGAAACTGCTGCTAGCAAACGTTAGCTTATCTTAACACCAAGACTGGAAACTGGGGGAAAAACAGCTACTCTGGCCTTTTCCAAGGTGTCTTTCATGCACCTCAGAGGCCTCATCATTGATGTATTAACAGCAGATTTGGATTAAAGCTAATATCAAACTAAAAAAAATCTATGAAACTGACCCTGCATTGTTTTGGTTTACTATAGATTAAAAGTGAATAGTAGGTTATGTGTTGGTCTGGAACCTCTGCTGGTTGTTTTGCAATAGTTGCTTTGAGTCCAAACCTCTCTGGTGGCTACAGTGTTGTGCAAAATCTTGAGTCACCCCTCAGTTCTTTATAGGTTTTTTTTTGACATACACAAGTTGTGCCAATTTCTTCAGTTAAATCTACAAAAAATGCCAATGAAAACACAGTTTGATGGGCATAAAACAGTATTTTTATACCAACAAGGTGATTGCAAAAGAGCTATTAGCTGAAATCTTGGCATGATGTGTAGTGTGGAGGGGGAAAAAACAAGTGTCAGGCCTAAAAAAAAAAAACTACCTACAGCAGATGAACAGTAAGTCATGTCTTGAAGAAACAGGAAAAATCCAGCAAAGACCTGACAAGACCTGAGAGATGCATCTGGCCCTTCAGCTGATTCATCAGGCATTTGAAGCCTTATTAGAAATGATGTCTATGGAAGGATGGCCACCCAAGAGGCCATTCTTAAGGAAGGGAAATGGGTAGAAAAGACTGAGGTATGCCAAATTAGACAAGAACTGGATTGAAAGTGATGATCAATGTTTACAGAGGCGGTCAGAAGAGAGGTACAACAGTCTGTGTCTACAGCTAGTTGTGTTGGGGATCTTTTCAAATTTGATGGAATCATTAGTGCAGAAAAATACTAATTTTGATCTACCGTGCAATATCATCTGGAAGTCATCTGATTGGCAGCGGCTTTATTTTTCAGCACTGCCAATGCGGTAAATTCATACCTGGATAGAACAACAATAAAACACCCTCAGTCACTGATTGGCCTCCACAGAGCTTGAACCTCAACATCACTGAAGCAATGTGGGATCATCTTGAAGATGAACAAAACAAAAGTCAGCCAACATCCCAAAAAGATCTTTGAATGTCCTTCACGCAGGCTGGAGAACAGTTCCTGAAGACTACTTAAGAAACTACAAGATAGCTGACTACAAGAGTTCAGGCTGTGCTGAAAAATGAAGGTGGTCATTACCAAGTGTTGACTTTAAAGATCATTAGAACTGTACATTCTGTTTTTGGTTTATGTCCATTTAATAAGTTTAATAAGTTTGCACCTTTTCTCAATTTTTCTAGCAAAATATAAAGAAATGAATGGTGGCTCAAGACGTGTTTGCACAGTACTGCACCTGACTGTGACTGCCAACTGTGGAGTGCAACTTGTGACCTAAATAGCCTGGAAGTCTTTTTCCCTGTATTTGCATTCTCATCACTAATAGGAGGTCTGAAGTGCTGTATTGACCTGAGAGCAGCTGATACCATAACATAACCTCTTGTTATAGCAGATGGCCAGTAGCAAGTTAGGGGTAATTGCTAACCAACATTTTATATTTTGCTTTGGCAACTCTTGTGCATTAAATATAAGTACTTACTTTGTGTTAACGACCTAATAATAATCGAGTACATTGAGTTATAAAGACTGACAGTGACTCTGAAAAAGTCTCTGCACTGTGAAAGCACCTACTGCCTACCAGCTAACAGATTTTGACAGAACCACAGTAGCTGTTACCAGTCTTTGTGCTAAACAAAGCTAACCAGCTTTTTATATGCTATACAAACATGTGTGGTATCAGTTTTGTCATCTAACTCTCAGCTGGAAATCCTATTCCCCACCCTCATGAAGATTTAAATGAAGAAAAGTAGTAATTTGACCCTTTTTCTCTCCCTTTAGTCTATCAGCCAGGGATATGGATCCTGACTGCCAGTTCCAAAGTGACCAGAGTTCATGATGGTCACTTCAGTGTAAGAAGACTGACTCAGACCCTTCTCTAACAACCCCCATCAAGACAAAGCTCTGCAGTGGATCCAGCAGGACTACTGGAGGCGTCAACTCACATTCTTAAATAAATAATGACAACAAAAAAAAAAAATCTTGCACATATTCAAACTTAGCCTGTACCAGAACTTGACAATCAGCTTAGCACGAGGACCAATGTGGGAAGTGAATCTTCTTATGAGCCAGTGCCACAACAATGGCAATACTATACCTACTGAGTTTCTTTATTTAATCGGGAAAAAAGTAAGAAGAGGTGTGCAAAACTCTGGGGGATAAAGATGTGCTCACGGTGTTCCCTCCTACACGCAGCACGGTTTCTTCTCGCTAAGGTGGCTGCAGACAAAATGTAAAATAGGCTTTTTATAAGCACAATATCCCTTCATGGTGACGCCTGTGACGAGCGACAGGCGTCGAATCATTTGCCAGCTGTTATCCTCTGATGCAGGGCCCAAGCAAAGACATATTTTACTATTTGGCTCTGGTGAAATCATATAGTAAAATATTGTCATTGCAAAAGTATTTTCACTAAAAAAAGAAAAGGTGGTTATCATGATTTTTTGCATCCTTTTTAGTCCATGCATTCCATCTAAAAAGATGCCAAACAAGTCCTACAGTCACCTTAAGTGTTTAAGTACAATCTGAATCTTCTCGTTGGTTTACTTTGTCCTGGCACGCAGTGTAAAGCCTTGACTTTCAGTGTACAGAAAAATTATTTCGTAAAGCTACTAAAATCTTTGCAATAACGGCGAATACTTTACAAAAATAAGCTTAAATTAACTTTATAGTATTATTAATAGTGATAATTGTGATAAACTACAGTAAATCTAACATTTCAAAACAGTGCTACAAAGTGTTTCAACGCAGCATTAAAGAAAAATTATGGGAGAATGTAAACATTTGGTTTAAAGATGCACTTCACCAGTTTTATACAGTGTGAGAGAACTAGTTAGCCTTCTTGGTGTGTCTGGAGGGGCTTTGGCTGATCAGAGAAAGTGATCCTGTCAGTGATGCCATCTGTGCTTGAACCAAGTCCTGTGCTACGGAGCAAGTTAAGCATACCCAGGATATCTGGCTTCACTTACCCTAACATTTGCAGTCAGGCTCAGCGGTCACATCAAGGTGGTTATCAACTTAATAAGTTCACCCAGAGTTTATCCGTCTAGCTACGTTTACGTTAAAGGGGTGGCATTAGCAGCCATGAGACCACTAGCAGCAGAGCGACTGATTTTACAAAAGTAAGCAAAACTATAATATTAGAAAAATATGAAGAGCTAAACACAATACAGATGTAAAGCAACAGAGCTGCAGACAAAACAGTAGAAAGGCGCTGTAGAGTAGTGTTAAAAGCAGTGCATGAATGTGTGTACGCTTTAAGTGCTTTTTTCAGTGAGGCTGGAAAGACCTGCTGTATTTAGAAAGTTGAACCTATCTGAAGCAGTATCAGTGCTCTGTCACTGAGTCACAGGGAAATCTGATAGATACGCCATTAAATCAATATTGTTGCTTACAGGATGGTTTTAGCTTTTATTCCTGCAGCTGGTGTTCAAGGGTCTAAGAGCAACAAATATTAAAATATAATTTGGTATAAAGTCCACAAGTACAAATAGGGGCTCTGAGGGATCTTCCAGGAATAGTGAATTGGTTGATACTTTACTGATTTTGTATTTGTTGATCTCTGATCTCAAAGATAACCTGCTCTGGACTGCAGGGCAGCAGCAGAAGTTGCCAAGGTGATGTACACGGGTTAAAAGTCTAGCGCCTTTTGTAATAATGAAATCCAGGGCAAAGCCTCAAGTTACCTGGATGAGGCTAAATCCTGCTTTGAAACACAGGTCTTTGAAGACTCCCAGGGTTTGTGCTACAAACTGGGACTGGGGACATGACAGTTTTTCCTTCCTAATAACTACCTAACTCCCCTGGCCAAGGCCGATGCCTTAGTTTACCATTTTAAAGAAAGTGATCTATAACTTAATGGTCCAAAGGTTAACCTCCCCCCACGTTTAATAAAGACGGAAACAGCCTAAAGGTCTGGGACGTTTGTTGTGCTAACTTCCAGCAGATCCTAAGTCATGTTACTACTTAATTTCTTGTTGTTTATGATATGTTTTCAGAAATGTCTTGAAAAGATAACACTAACACAGCTCGTCACAGTTTTCCTGACCTCATAGGAGCTTAATTGGTTACCTTAATTGCCTGTGTGCTCTTTTCAAGTAGAACTGCAATAATGAGCAATTCAGTGAACTAACAAAATTAACCAGCAACCGTTTTCATGATGAGATTATCAAACAGTGTTAGGCTGATGCTTCTCTTACAAAGTAAACTGGATTTATTTTGGGTTTTTCTTTTTGCTCTTAGCGATGCAAAATGTCCATTTGAAAGCATCACCTCAGGCTTTAGGAATATTTCATTGAGCATAGTGGTTCTAACTTGGCCTAAACCAGCCTATCACGCCTGGTATTTTTTTTTATGTGTATCTTTTTTTAATGTGTTTTTTTTGTGTTGATTTTGCTGCTTGACACTTTGTAACCCTGGTTTGAAAAGTGAAATATAAATAAAGAAAATTTAACAAACATGGTCTTAAAACGAGACGTGCACCCGGACGCAAATCTTATATAACAAGTAGTGAGTTACTCATCTGTTGTGTTTAATGTCTCTGAAGCATAGGTGTGCAACAGTTCTGCATGTGCTTTTTAAATGCAAGGACGAGCAAGTCGGTTTGCTGTCAGATATACTGATGTACAAAAAACAAAATTTACAAAAAAAAGAAAACTACTTTGACACGGCTTTCTAATTGGAAGGCATCTTTTTTTAATCCAACCTGCTGACTCTTCTGCTTTTTTCCAGAAGAGTGTGGCATTCAGCCTTTTGCATTATACAACATGGGAGTATAGTGAGAAATGGTCAGAAATCCGAGAAACGAGAGAGGACACAGTGAAACCAACTGAACAATAAGACGTTTACAAGCAGGGATATGTAGTATATGTGCATAGGATTTGACTGCCTTACAGTCTGTGCCACAGGGCCCAAAATAACAATGCCAATACAAAAAGCTGTAAACTTTGTATATTAAATGTCTTTTTCTTTTTGTAGTCAGGTGATGAATTAATAAGCAGTGTGTTGGTTAACTCTGTATGTTAGAAACATTTACATTGCAAATTTCATGGTTGATATCATTTATCCTAACCTCTTTGCCTTTAAAAAGACATTTTATTTCAAGATAAATATCAATGATACAAAGTTAAATGTTTATGTTACCAGAACTGTATAAAATAGCTTCATGTATATCTATTCTTATATGTAAAATGTATTCGAATCAAGGGTAGGCCTTCAGGCATGTTGAAGTTGTGGTTTAAAAAAAGAATTTGATTCTTATATTATTCTAACTCTTAATGCTGCAATCCAGAAACTGCAGCGCTGCGGCTGCGTTCGTGGGACGACAGCTGATTAAGTTCATTTTTGCTCCAGATGAAATACGACAAGAGATTCGTCTTAATAGCTCGCCTACTTTGTGTAACCAAACTAGCAGTGGTGCTTTCAACAAATGCTGGATTGCAGTTTTAAGCAGTCTTCTTTTGGAAATATACGTTTATTTATCTGGCCTGCATTGCAATACAGTATTTTGAAATGTTATACTGCACTTCTGTTTTCACTTTACAAGAAGCTGCAATCCATAATCTGCGAAAAATGTTTTTAAAGAATATATATATAATATATATATATATATAAAATGGTATACCCATGTATTATTGAAAACTTTCTCTGTATTAGCTGCAGTGGTACAGTGTGCTACCTCTGAAATCCTCCCCTCATCTCCCTTTGAAATTTAAGGTTGTTTTTCTGTTTCGTAACGTTACCTGAGAGGGTACTTTATTCCATTAAGCTAAAAATCCTCCTTTTATTTTAAAGCTACTGCTAACAAACTAGTTATAATTTTGCTTGTTTAATTGCTTAATTCTATTTTTGGATTTCCTGTATGAAACCGTTGCCATCGCAGGACCGTTTCTAAAGTCTGTCCTGTTTGCTATTGTATTTAAGTGCCATTAGCATTGCAGTCATACTAATGTTTTTTGAATCGTGGGATGAGATTGAGCGTGTTCCAGGTATTTGACTCTCAGGTGTTATGAGGAACACAGAGATTTGACGCACAGAATAGCGAACCACAAATTTCAACGCCGAAGCAACACAAAGTTCAAAGAGCGCATTAAATGAGGGGTTTGTGCTAACGCTAAAGCAACCGCTCTGCTTTTATCTGGGCTGGCTCTCTGCTCTCATCTCATTCTTACAAATAGTTTAATTTACACCTTCCCTTTTAGCGTTTGTTACATAAGAGGAAGAGGAGTTTATTTTCTTGGTCCAAATAAAAAAAATGTGACAAATGCCCCACTGTAACAAGACTTGATGAGGAATATTATATAAGATGCTACTGAAGAAGTGCTTTATCTTTACATAATCATGACATATTTTAGACGTCGTATGAACCTTTGTTGACCCAAGGGAGAATAACTGCCGCTTTGCTGCAGCTACACAAGATAATAAATGATAATAAATGAGATTATATATGTTGTATATTTTAAATAAGGGTACTTAACATCAACATATTTATGTTTCTAAAATGGATGTATAGCATTTTAGAATGAAGCAAAATATTTTTCTTGGCAGCTATTATTCTGCACAATTGACCTAATGTGTCACAAATATAGAGTCAGTGGGATTTCTGACTTGAATTAGGCCTAGTGGATGTAATACCTTAATTTACTTGACATTTCTTTTGAAATAAGCCATGCCCCATTGATAAGCCATACCCTCCAGTCCCCTGATGTTGTGTGGTGGATGTTTAATGTTGGTAGTTTTATTTATAATGGTAGTTATTGTAGGTATGATTGCGCTTGTAATTATTATTATTATTAGTGTAAGTATACTTGATTGATATGATTTGTTTTGTTTGAACAAAGGGAATGTATTCATTTTTCAGGTGATTTTTCTGAGTGATTTAAATAAATTATTAAATCCCTAATCAAGAATCTGTTATTTAAAGTACTTGAGTAAGTTACTTTTAAACTGAACTGTAACACGTTTGATCCCAACCACCTTAATGGGGAATCTTCTTAACACATGAAAGTTGCCCATGGAGTTCCACATGGTTCTATGCTGGGACCACTCCTTTTTACATTATGCATACCTTCCTTAGGCAGTATTATCTGAAATGTTGCATATATTTTCTATGCTAGCCAGATGATACCCAATTTTATTTATCTGTTAAGGCAGATAACGCAAATTGGTTAATTAAATTATGGTGTCTTGAAAATGTAAAGGCCTGGATGGCCACTAATTTCCTACTTCTAAATTTAGACAAAAACGAGGTTACGGTATTTGACCCTAAAAACTTCATAAACATGGTGGTTTATATACCACTGCTGCATGTCATTAAGCGGTATCTTCTCTGTGGATGTTTTATTCAGTCTCCCCGTGCTTTTTTTCTCTCTTCTCTTTTCCCTGAAACTGGTTCTACCAGAAGTTTCTTTCTGTTGATGAGTTTTTCTTTCCCACCGTCACCAAGTGTTTCTCCTAGGAGATTGTCTGATTTTTGGGGTTTTCTCTCCAAAACTGCAGTTTTTACTTTAGAAAATTTATTGAAGCAACTGTTGTTGTCGTTTGGTGCTACATAAAAAACCCCGAATTCACATCTGATATGTATACTGAAATTGACTGTGCGCTCAGTTTGGAGAATTGTAAGATTCAATATGTAAGAACCATAAAAGCACATTTGAAAAGACAGAAAAGTCACTGTGAGACTTTTATGGGGACAGCCTGGGGTACATTTTCTGAGCTTTTCAGTAAAGCAGTTGATTAAAAATCCACACGCACAGCCCCAGATCATTCTTAGTCTCCCACTCATTGTGGAGGAGGTGCCAGTCCTCTGTCTGAATCCATTTCTTGTCTTAAATAAGCAAAATTAAGATTCAGTAAATGAACTTGACAGCTGTACCAATCAATATTTCATAGTAAAAACAGGTGAAATGTCTAAGTGAAATGTGAAAGAGGTCATCCAGAAGGACAAGCCCACAGAGAATATCAACCAATAGCTCTACTCTCTATTGAACAGCTTTACTGTTTTGGTTCACTCTCAGCAGCCGTGTTGCTTCTAAAAAGAGCCAAATATTTCACCAGGAGAGTCCAAACACAGAGTTAAATGGAGAATTAATATAAACATAAGAAAAACGATATCAAACCCCTGATAATTTTGGATGCTGCTGAATGTGTGTGCTAAACATGTTTTTTGTGGCATCTTTAGAGGGCGATAAAATTCCAGATGGTTTCATCTTGTTTTGATGCCCTAAAGTAGTCAAGTAAGGAGCTAAATGAATAAACAAATGCTTCTCTTAAAGAAAAAGTGTTACAAATTAGGAAGCGCACTTATTCCGTTATTGGGAAAACTGGGTTCTTTTATACAACACAAAGACTGGTGCTGCCAGGCAATCAATGAAGTTCTAAAAAAATGAAAAATAGTATTGTACAAATGAATTTTTGTATGAATTAAACAAATATAACATATCAATTAGCTTTTCAGCTGAAGGAGGTACTAGGCAGACCCAGCTGCTGCTTTTTATTTTCAGTCTTTGTGCTAAGCCAACTGCCTGCAGCTGTGGTGTGACACAGTATAAGATAATTACAATGAGAGTTCAGTGTTTTATTTGGTGCAATACCACAATAACAACATTTTAGTTTCGCATTCAGCAAAGTCATAAAATCTTCCAATGTTGACAAGCTTGGCCTCAAAGTCGATCTATATTTACTGATGCTACTCAAGCTGCTATAATACCTCCCAAATGTATACCTCTTAATGCTTTAAACTTTCAGATATACTGCCAGAAGCTTCGCCAGCTTCTTTGTCATTACAAAGGAATAAAGACCAAACTATTTTCAGTCAAAATGCACTACAACAGAACTTGTCCTCTGCAAACTCACAGATTCCTTGTGTCACAACTAGGCTAATCATAATCCATCCCCTCAAGTAACAACCTGGCTTAGCATTTTCCCTTGTCATTTCAATGGCTGAGTGGGTAATGGGATGTCAGCTGCTCTCCATCAGAGATCTGCATGATGCCAAAGGACTGCAGATAACCAAATGTCTGGTACCCTGCAAGAAAATGAAGGTGAATCAGTTTCACAGCTTCTGCTGCTCTTTCGGTTTCCTCTCAGCAACTCCTTCACAAGTCCCGTTGGCTTGTAATATATTTATGCTAATTATTGCCACACTTATATGTCTGCAGAAGCCCACACCTTCATGGTGAATTGAGTCATGTTTTTCAATGTCAATAAAGCTCATTTAAATGTGAAAACACAGAGAGATCTCCTTTTTTTTATGATGACTTCTCTATGCCTCGTTAAAAACTGACAGAAATAATTCGTGCATAGGCTACTTATAGGTAAGTAGGTAAGTTGCTTTATAAAATACAATTAAAACCATGAGGATTTCTGAGGCCATTCTTGAGGATTAGCTAAATGCAGAAGGTAATGGACTCAATGTAGCATCTTAAGGGAATAGCTCGATATTTCAGTATTCTCCTGCTTTCTTGTCCTTACATTAAAATCACTCTCGTGTCTGTGTGTTAAATGTAAATCAGGAGAAAGTGGACAATTAGGAGGAGGAGAAATGCAGCTAGCCAGGCTCAGTCTGAAAGAAATAAAATCCACACCTCTAATGCCTCAGTCACATTAAAGTAAAAACAAAAAAAGGATGGTAACTTCCTCGCAACTGAGAGAAAAAATAAAGTGTTGGTTGCCTAGCGATTGCACATTTCACCTGGTGTCAGGCAACTTGTTTCCAGGGAATCGTGGTAACAACTAAGTCACTATTTGTGGAGGACATGTCTGTGCAGGTTCTCTGTCATCCAGGTCATAGTACTCTAAGGAGCTTGCGAAGAC